TTTTTTTAAAACAAATTTTCTTTGATCGAATTCTTTTGTTTTCATGATTATTATTTTTTGTTTTGATGAGAGGACTACGTTTATATAACCCTCCGGAGGTATTGGGTGTTTATTCCCAAACATTGTTTACCGGATGCTAAAAATGTTTACATGGGTTGATACTAGCTCAAGAGCTAGATATGGTTGCCTCTCTTGATTTTTTGAAAATCAATGATGTTTTGATTTTATGATTTAAAATTTTGATTTATGATTTCATTTGATTGATTTGTTTTCATTTGAAAATATTTTGCATGATTCTCATGCTCTTTTTCTTTTGATTTCATAAATCTATTTTTGATCTTTATGTTTTTGTTAATGAGACACTATTTTCATTTTGACATATTTATATGTGTTCTCGTTATCTTTTTGTATGTGAGTGATATTTAGCATATTCATGTATGCTTGCTCACATGTTTTGCGATGATCTTTATTGCATTCACTCCATATAGCATTTTAATAGGGGGAGTCTTCCCTATATTATTATTGTTCTTATACTCACCTATGCTTATTGATAGGGGGAGCTTTCGCTCGCTTAATTCTTTTATCCCCTTTTTGATGTTTTCAAAGGGGGAGAAATATTGTGAGTATATTCTTTCTTGTTTATATGCATGTGAATTATAAATTATATATTCATTTCCTTCATGCATATATTTTTTTTTGTAAATTGTTTGTCATCATCAAAAAGGGGGAGATTGTTGGCCTTCTTGTTTTGATGATGTTTAACAAACAATTTACCACTAATGTTGTTTGTCTAGTATTTGTGTTTCTAATATTGTTTGTCTAGTATTTGTGTTTTCTTATTTATTATAGACAAACAACGTAGTTGGAGGATGGATGGAATTGCGCCTATACGATCATATCCAATGGAGGTTGGTGGAATTGTGGAGTGAAGCAACGTACAATTCAAGTTAAAGATCAAGTTCAAGCTTCATCCGCAAGTGTACCAAGTTGAGCTTATTGGAGATCAAGATTTAGCTTGGGTAACTTAGTTTAGGAGTTTATATTATGTGTGTTAGTACCTTAAGCTCAATTATCTATACACACACATTTATTGGTTTCTTCGTGTATATTTATAGTTATATATATATATATATATATATATATACATAAGTTTTGGTTTCAATGCATATATATAGTTATATATATAATTATATACATGCATGGTTTTGGGTTTTCATGTTTATAAATATGAAATCACATATTTCATATTTAGTATTGTGTTTTTGAAAACACTGCATAGAATATGAAATTTTGTGAAAATTCTGTATTCTTAGTTTTTGGACATAACAATAATCATATACATATTTTATTAAGTCTACAAAATCATTGTGCAAAGTTTCAGAACATGGTTTAGCCTAAATGTCAAAATTCACATGTTTACATTTTCGTGTTTTGGACTATTTTTACAAAATGATGATTTTTCACAAATGGGAAATGCAATTTGGAAAATTCTTTTTGTAACATGTTCATTTACACGTTTATATACATTTCCCAAAGTTTCATAATTTTTGGACTTCATTTGTTATTTTTAACAATTTTCCAAAATCAGCCTTTTAAACCTATTTTTCCTGCCCAGTATCTGTTCATGTGGTCGCACGCCCCACGCGCTCACCTGTCCCAAGCAGCTTCAGAACTTCATTATATTTTTATTAGCTCGCGCGACTCGAACCATGGCGGGCACTCGGCACGCTAGCGAGTCTAGAGAGTTTCGTGGTCGACCGTCGCTTGTCCAGAACAGTTCTTCGCCTTTTTGTTCTTCACGGTCGACCGTCGCGGTCGACCGCCGATATGACCGTTGGACTCCAACGGCTATTTTCTGAGCTATTTTTCTGGGGCTGTTTTTGTCATTTGCTTGGGGTTTTTGCTGAGATTTTGAGTGGGTATAAATACCCTATTACTGTTCTCTTTCAAGCTAATCTAAGAAATGTTTTAAACAAGTTTAAAGAGTTTTAAACAAGGGTTTAAGTGTGTTTTAGTGTTTGTTTGGTTTGTGAAAGTAGTTCTTCACAAGTGGAGGAGATCATCTTCTTGTTTGGGCTCAAATCTCCATCTCTCCATCTTGATCTAGAGAAGTTTTCCTAAACTCAACTCTAGCTTTTATTTATAATTATTTGTTAATTATCATTTCTATTAAAGCTAGTTTTATATTGAGTTTAGATTTGATTTTATCTCATTGTTACACACACCCACTTGAGCTTATTGTATTTGCATTCATAATATATTTGGGGTTGTGAGAGTTGTAACATTGAGTGTGAGCTTTCATTGTGTTCTCATCCATAGTTGAGAACAATCAATTATTGTATTAAGCCTAATTGTGAGATTCACTTTGTAATACACTTGTACACCGAGTGAGGAGTGTGTGGTGAGAGTCGGGGATCGTTCTAAGAGGAGTGGCGAGCCTAGGGAGAGGTTGTAACCGAGCACTTGAGGGAGACACGGCTAGGTCCAATACTTGTGAGGGTGTAGAATGTGATTGCAAGAGTGTCGATTGTAAAGTTTTCGGTTAGCTAGAAAACCGAGTGTGAGGTGTAAACGTTATTCGGGTGAACGTAGAAAACCCGGTTGTGATAGTGGATTTCTCCCTGGGAGTGGGGAGCGGAGACGTAGGACGGAAGGTTCAAACTCCTTGATCATTTGATTGTGTTTGAGTGTGCTTTGGCGTTCATTTATATTTATGTTCATATCTTATATCGCCATTGTGCATTGCTCATTATTATTTCATCCACTATCTTGTTTAGATTATTTACCTTTGTGTTGTTTATATATCCTTGCACATACATTGCCTATATCTCATTATTAGGATATATCTTGTTGTTCATATTGCTTATCCTAGCTCATATATATTGTTGTATTTCATACTTGCTAGGATAACTTGTTAATTAATTTTAATTAGCATTTAAATCGGATTAGATTAGCATAAGACCCTAATCCCCCCCCCCCCTCTAGGGTCTAACACCATACACAATATCCCCCCTTCACAGGATCTAATTGCTTTGATACCAACTTAATACGGGTCACCGGACGAGGCACCCTTGATCGTGGAATTATCAAGAGTGGGTTGTGAAGAAGATAAAAAAATCACACAAAGAATTGAGTTAGTCGAAGGAAAATAGCTTCTCTAGATTATAAGAAATAATAGATTACAAATCTCTCTCTCACAATCTTCCTAGATCAAAGAACAATCTCCCTTATCTCGTTTCTGAATACAATCTAGTTTTTCCCCAAAACCCTAGAAAAATCATTTTTTAATATATATCAAACACAAAACCTAAAGTGAACAGGAAAATGAAAGTCTAGCCCAGCCCGACTCGCAGTCAACCACGAAAAGTCCAGAGACTTTTCTTCAGTTGTGCACGTTCGCGGTCGATCGAGGCGTCACGTGCGGTCGACCACTGGAAGTCCAAAGTGGGTCCTGTAGTTTTTCCTGTACTCTTCGACGTTGCCGTCTTCAACGACTTCATCCCCGTCTCTATTCTCAAGATACCATGAGAATCATCTATCCTCAAGCTTCTATGAGGATCGCTAAGCTTCCGAAGCAAGGAAGAAGATACACCCGTATCATTATTGCCTACGAGTTTGTGGATATAATACGTCAAGAAGATATAACATTGTTGGATAGTTAAACCCTGACCTTTTGTGAAATCTTAAAATTTTATATTTCTCGATAAGTATTGAGTGATGATGTATACAGACTGTGAGTGTGGGTGTCTGCAACCTCCATGTTTTTTGTTTTGGTATTTCTCACTCAATACTTAATCGTGCTATATAAAAAACCTGAGATTAGACAACATCATGTGTCATCATCTACAAATAAATTGATTTAAAAAATATTGAGTTTTAAATATGGAGAATAAATAATAATTTGGCTTTTTAAGGTGTGAGATCTATTTTGGCCATGTTTGATAAGTTTTATAAAATATCATTTTGAATTGCTAAGTTTTGATTTTGTCATCCACTTTAAATTGGCCTAATTATTATTTAATCTCAAATAACGTATAACTAACATAAGAGTATCAGGAATTGTAATATGTTTTGTGCATGGTTGTTTGACACATATGAGATGAATAATGAGGTATATTTATTTTCTTCATATCTATAATTTGAGAATTGAGATATTTTAAGCTTTAAGCTATGAGTTGATATTCCTTTTCCTTTTGAGAAATACATTGAGTAGGGATACTCTGACATTGATTAATAGTTTATTCTTGGATTTATAATTGCTCATTCATACCCTATCTTTTTGTATTCTTATTTAGCCTTCAGTATTGTCTCATTTTTGAATCATTGATGAATATATATTTTTGTTCATTTCCTTCATTTGATTTTAGTTGCATTTTGAACTATATTTTTCACTATCCCATCCTTCGGATCCTATCCTTTGGTGGTACTTGTTATTATCCACTCTAATGGATTTGTTTTAGTTATTTTTGTTCTTTTGTTTATCTTTTTTAGGTAATCGGTGTGTTCTGGAGTAGAAAGTTTGTTGAGTCGAGAACAATGATTATATAGGCATACATGTGTTAGCTTTATTTTTGGTTTTAGGAAAAATCACTATTTTAAATCTTTTTCCTATAAAATCTTCAATAAAAAAAATTTATAAAATATTTCACTACAACAGACATGTCTTTTAGCGACCAACTTTTTTGTGAGAAAAATATTTTCCTCAAAAAATATCACTTTCGATGAGGAAAATATTGTTTCCTCGGTGAATATCAGTAGGTCTTCTATGATGAATATATTTTCCTCACAGTGGACCACCTTTTACGATGAAAATTTTAGTTCCTCACTAAAGATGATCATGATTTGGTCTCCTAACTAGTTTTTTTTTTTTTTGGTAAATGAAAACTTTTTATTCATCAACCATTGAGAACTTATGTACACCTCAAGAATACTCAGCAAATAAGTAGCTGAGAACTCAAAAACTAACTAATACAGTTTCCCTTCTCAAATAGAAAAACCTGTCAAACCCTATTAGTGGGGTTATTGAGAATGATTGTGGAGGCTTCAAACATTATGACCTTAATCAAATGATCAGCAGTGCTTATCTTCTGGGTAAACAACCTTGCATTTCTTTCTCTCCAAATGCAGTAGATTGTAGTTGTTAATACCAGTCTTCTAAGCTTAACCTGTAGAGATTTCCCTCTCATGCTTGAAAACCAGTTCCAAACCTGATTCCAATTGCAAGACTTCTTCTTGAAATTCATCCAATCCATGATTGAGTTCCAAATATAGGAAGAAAAAGTACATTCGAAGAACAGATGATCTCGCGATTCAGAGATTTGACCCGTGCATAGACAACACTGGTTTGAACTGATTATACCTCTTTTAAGGAGCCTATCTTGTGTGAGGAGCCTGTTTTGAATTGCTAGCCAGCTGATAAAAGAGTGTTTGGGTACATTGAGACCACCCCACACTGTTTTATACCATGGCACTGAGATAACAGTTGCTGACAGGTTCATGTACAATATCGATAGAATTGGCGTTGAATTCTTGCAGCTTGACATGATGAGGGTCTTGGTATTATCAGCACCTCCTAAGACCGCCATCACCTTGTTTCTAATTCTGAGTAATTGTTTCCACATCCATGAGTCTCCTGATCTAGCTTCAACCTGCCATATGTCTTCATGTTTGAGATAATTTTCATGGATCCATTTAATCCAAAGAGATTCCTTGTTAGAATGAATGAACCATATGCTTCGTAAAGCAGAAGCTGAATTCCATATTTGAGCAGAATAAATCCCCAGGCCACCTTGTTTCATTCCTAAGCATACCTTATCCCAAGCTACAAGAGGCACTTTAGAAGAATGTTCATCTTTACCCCATAGGAATATCCTACATAATTCATCAATTTTGCGATCTGTATTAGCTTCCAGCCCAGACACTTCGCCAAAGGTTTTAAAGCACTGATAAAGCTTATGCACTGAATAAGTTTCTCCTTTTGCAAATAATAATAAATCATCTGCAAAAATCAGATGGGAGATCTGAAGTTTCTTGCATTTAGGGTGAAACTTAAAGTTCCTGTCTTCCTTTAATTTGGTCAAACTCCTAGACAGATAATCCATTCCCAGGATGAAGAGGTAGGGAGAGAGTGGGTCACCTTGTCTCAGCCCCCGTTCCCCCTTGAAGTAGCCATGTAGTCCTCCATTGAATGAAATAGAATACTTGGGAGTTGTAATACAGACCATAATCCAATGAATCATAACTTCAGGGAAGCCCAGACCAGTAAGAACAGATTGAAGAAAGCTCCAACTGATAGAGTCAAATGCCTTTCTAATGTCAATATTGATCATAGCTCTAGGAGATATATGTTTCCTGCTGTAGCTTTTAACAAACTCATGGGCTAGCATAGTGTTGCTAGTTATGTTCCTCCCTTGAACAAAAGCACTTTGTGCTTCATTAACTAAGCTTCCCAAAACAGATTTTATTCTATTTGCAATAATTTTTGATATGAATTTGTAAATGCAATTGCAACAAGAGATGGGTCTAAAATCTGCTGGGGTTTTAGGACATTGTACCTTTGGAATAAGAGTTAGTGAAGTTGAATTTACAGTCCCCAAAAGCTTTCCAGTCTTGAAAAAAATTTTAATGGCCAAAGTTACCTCAGCTCCGACAATTTTCCATGCTGATTTAAAGAATTAGACATTATATCCATCAGGTCCTGGTGATTTATCCTCAGACATAGAAAAAATTGCAGACTTAATTTCCTCATTTGTGACTGGATTAGATAACATAATGATTTGTGAATCACTGAGACAAGGGCCAGCTTTGATTATATCCATATCAGCTGGAAGAGTGCTACTTGCTGTTCCCAAAAGATTCCTGTAGAATGTCACTAATTCTTCCACAATAGCATCTCCATCAGTTATCCTATCCCCCCTGTTGTTATATAGCACTACAATTCTGTTATTGTGCATATTTGATTTGGCTAAAGAATGAAAGAATCTGGAATTTCTATCCCCTTGCAAGCTCCATGCAATCCTGGCTTTTTGCTTGTAGAATGATAATTCACAGTCAAGGAGTTTGTTATAAAAGGAATAATATTCTTTTTCTTTCCTAATAAGATCACAGTTTAGAGGGTTTATTTGGAGATTTCCCTGAACCTCCTCTAAAGCAATTTTTGCTCTAAGCACTTGTTCACTTATATTGTAGAAGTGTTTCTTATTGAGATCCTTCAATGCCCCTCTGAGTAATTTCAGTTTTGTATAAACAGAGAACATGGGATAACCTTGGATGAATTGGTGCCAGATCTTTGAGACTGTTGGAATATAACTGTCATGGTTGATCCACATCTTATAAAATCTGAAGGGTTTTTTCCCTTGAAAGGTGTCTTCATACACTGAAATTATACCAGGGGAGTGATCAGAAATTCCAGGCATCATATACTCAATATGACTGGAAGTAAACTTATTGACCCAAGCATCATTTACCAAAGCCCTGTCCAGCCTGCTCCATACTCTAGTATCAGATTCTTGCTTGTTAGTCCATGTAGAAAAACATCCCTGAGTTTTGAGATGGCTTAGAGCACATACTTCTATGCAGTTACAGAAATCACCTATGTCAGCTTCAGTAAGAGCAACTCCTCCCAATTTTTCATCAGAGCTGATCATGGCATTGAAATCACCACACAATAGCCATGGTATATTGCCAATGTTTTGGCAGATACTTGTAAGATCATACCATAGACTCTTCCTGGCCTCCAGTTGATTAAATCCATATATAGCTGAGATGACAGAATCCAGTTTTCCATCTTTTGACTTGATTGCCTCCAGTTGATTAAATCCATATATAGCTGAGATGACAGAATCCAGTTTTCCATCTTTTGACTTGATTAAGCAGGATATCTGTTGATCAGACATATTTATAATATGAATATCAAATATATTTGGATCCCACAGAATGATTATCCTGGCTTTTCCAGCAGGCCTGATATTAGAATCCCACATCCAGTTATTTGCTAATTTTCTGACAACTTTTGAGATAGAACAGTCTTTGATCTTTGTTTCAAGGAGAGCTATGAAGGAGATATGATATTGCTTAATATGATTTCTCACTATTTGTTGTTTGGAAGACTTATTAAGTCCTCGCACATTCCAAAAAGAAAAATAGAGGAAAACACGCTAAATATAAAAGCGACAAAGTGTGATTTCCTCGTTGAAGATCCATAATCTACAAGGAACCATTTCCTCATCAAAAGAATCAATTAGCAAGAAAATAATAGTTTCCTTATTATTAGTTTGGCAGGAAAAAACCCCCCGCCATATTCAATGGTGACAAATTTAAGGCCTTCTCGCTAAAAGTTTTTGTTTTTATGAGAAAATGTTTCCTCGTTAAAAAGAACCTATTAGAGGAAATTATAGTTTCCTCACTATTAATTTGGCGAAAAAATTTGCAGCACCCGCCAAATTCATTAACGAAAAATTAAAGGTTTCCTCGCTAAAATTTTTGTTTTATGAGGAACTGTTTCCTCATTAAAAAACCAATTAGCAAGGAAATAATAGTTTCCTCATTTTTAGTTTGGTGGAAAAATAGGCAAAACCCACCAATTTTAATAACAATAAATTTAAGGCTTCCTCGCTAAAAGTTTTTGTTTTACGAAGAACCGTTTTGTCGTCAAAAAGAATCTATTAGCGAGGAAATTATAGTTTTCTCATTAATAATTTGGCAGAAAAAAGTGCAAAACCCGCCAAATTCATTGAAGACAAATTAAAGGTTTCCTCACTAAATTTTTTTATTTTATGAGAAACCCTTTCCTCATTAAAAGAATCAATTAGTGAGGAAATAATAGTTTCCTCATTATTAGTTTGGCGAAAAAATGTGCAAAACTCGCCAAATTCAATGGCGATAACTTTAAGGCTTCATCGCTAAAAGATTTTGTTTTGCAAGAAATCAGTTCCTTGTTAAAAATCCAATCAGCGATGAAATAATAATATCCTCATTATTCGTTGGTGAAAATTTTTGTGGGAATTAGGGTAAAAAATAGGCGGGTACTCAAAGAAAAGAGCGGGCCTCTAATATCAATGGCCTAACAAATGTCCATATACAAGTCAACAATCGTTGGCCAATTTACATTTTTTTTTGAATGAATGTCCAGCACGAGGTAAAGCTCTAGTATGGATAGAAATATGGATTTGATTTGTCTGGTTGATGGTTCTTTTTTGTAGGTTTTTGCACAATTCACATGAAGATTAACAACCAATTAATATTTATTCAGGTTCAAAGGGATCCCGATGATAAAGGATTGCTCACAAATCTGATAAGATTTAAACAATTTGTGACTTTTGAATATACATTTATTTCAAACTTCTGAAATTAGATTATGTTAATAGATAATATTGACTTCTGAAAATAGATTAAACCAAACGTGTAATAAAATCTCTTATTCCTATCTAGCATAATGTTTAAGGTATATGGTAACCATGTTTCGATATCAATGGAGAATCGTATATGTGTGTGTGTGTAATCTTACTAGCATTATAATGGTTCAACACCGACGAATCAAGTAGGGACGAAAGGAGAAGAATGAGTACGGTATGATTATAATCTTACTAGCATTAATACAATTCGTTGGGGACAGTTTAGAACTAGTAAGTAGTGCATATTTCTCTTATAATTCACACTACTACAAAATAGGTCTATAAAGATAGTTCATTGGGGACAATTTAAAACTGTCCCCTTAGTCGTCTAAGAAAATAGTTTTGTGAAAGTTCCAACAGTCACAATAGAGTCTTAGATAATGCTTTAAAATAAAGTATTGGGCAATTCCGTAATCGACTAAAGTGACGGATGAGTCCTAGGGGTGAAAGTGAACTGAATAATTAATAAACAGTTCAGTTATTATTCGGTCTGATATGCGATCAAGTTCGATTCGATAGTTCATTTAGTAATAAACAAATATTTTTTAGATATTTAATCTATAAATGAATAGAATTTATTCAAAGGTATTTTCGATTCTATTGATTATTAACTATTCGATAACTTTTTACATTTTATTACATCTGACTCATATTAATTAAACTTTTTTACAAACACTACATATCTAAATTTTTATATACAAATGTAACCTATATAAATACTTAAGAGGGGATTCCAAGGCTAGGGATTTTCCATTTTCTTAACTACCACCCTTCACTCCAGACCCTGACTCTAGGGTTAGCCTCTCTCCTCACATCTTTGTGATTTGCTCAGCCGCTCGACCACTTCGACGATCGTCTTCGAGATCCGCCGCCTTCGCTCAGCCGCTCGGCCACTTGTCTCCGACTCTTCTCTCCAAGATCCACCCCTCCGCTCGGCCCTCACTTATCTTCGACAGACTCTTCGACCATTGATGGTCTCCTTCTCCATCGATGCTCTCTTCCTCTCGAGTCTTGAAGCTCTCATCCTTCTCCGACGTGTCCTCGACCACCCAAATCTACCATCCTTTCATCAAAATGTAAGATAAAGCTTAAAATTTTTCATTTTTCTATTTTAACTGAAATTAGTTGCTAAACAAATAGTCGTGAATACTTACTGAATGCTAATATAAGTTCTCGAATCGAATTCGAATAATATTAAGTCTTCGAGCTGAATATGAACACAAATTCAAACATGGGGATTAGGGTTGAATTCGAACTCGAATAGTAAGATATTCACTCAGATTCAGTCATTTTCCAACCCTACGGATGATGCAGATTTACATTTTTAGTTTTGAGATCGAACACCACCATTTCCCCCCTAAATTTTCATTTGACCGCTTCGTAAAAACCCTAAAAACAATCCAAATAACCAATTCTTCATTTAGCCATCTCTCGATAACCTCCTTTGCCTCTCATCCTCCTCCACTCGAACTTCCCGCACATCTCCATGCCGACCTTGATGGTGTCGAGATCCCTTCGGATCAACAGCGGCTCATTTTCATAGGAAAGCAGCTCAAGGATTTTGATAATTGCTGCTTTTTTAGCAGAATGAAGGTTATCGCTGCTTATTTGCTTGCTGTTTTGGGTGGAAACAGCAGCCATTTGCTGAGGATATCAAGGGCATCTTGGGATTAGGTTCGATTTCATTTGTTCATCTTTTTTTCCTATTTTTTTGATTTTCATGCAAATGTCTGTTAAAAATGGTTTCTTTTTTATTTTTGGAAGAAATGAGAAGAAAATTTGCAGATTTCTTATTGTACGGTCAATATCAAAATGAAATTGAGCTGTATACCTGTGTAATTTCTTATGAAATATCTATCTTTCATGAAAAGAATTGCCATATATTTATCTGGAATTTATCAATTCCAGATGAAAACTTTGCCATGTATCCATGAAAA